TCGCTGATATTTTCATCCTTGTGAATATGTTGACTAGTTTCTTTTGAAAATCAGGTACTGCTGCTTATTTTCATTAGTAATCTACCAAAATGCAGCTGATGCCACCAATTGTACCTGGAACGAGAAGCGATAGTTCACCATAGCCAACACGGGAAAAAATAAATTAAGTGAAACCTTCAAATAATTTAATTTAATTATTAGGAAGACAAGTAACGCAATTTAGTCACAGGAAAAGAAAACACGAAGAATAAAATCAGAGGCTATGTTTGAAGGAGGCAAGAACAGCAATGTGACTTCACAAAGGCGCAAGTTAGGTTTGAAAGACTTAAAGTTAATAAACCTAGAGTAATTTCAACCATCCAAAGACAAGCAATTTATATAAAAATTTAATCAGGGTAAAACTCTGAAGTCCAAATGCATTCAAATATTCCCTGCTGTATTAAGTGGTTGCTAGAATCATGCAAATCTGACATCAGATATCTATGCTCATTCTTACACCAGTTCACTTAAAGAACATATATAAAGAAGAAAAGCACACTGAACTTAGATGCCAATTTACACAGCTGAGACAAATCAGCAACTAGCAATTAAATTCTAAACTTTACATGAGAAGATTGTCAATGGGATGAAATTAGAATATAAGGACCACATACCCTAGCTTCTGTAAAGGATAGACTATGCAAAAGTGGGTAGACTAACAAAAAGAATCACCTGGTTTTCGTCGTTGTCTAGCAGGTTTCATGGTACTTGAGTCTCCTTTGTTGCTACGATTAACACCTATATTTACATTGCGCTTTAATGACGCTTTTCCAGGTCCTAATTTCTGAATATTGTGACTGTCAACAAGAACCAGTTTAACTGTGCGATTATCATGTCCTGATGGTCTATTCTGATTGGAAAGTGTGCTTGGAGCATTAGGAGGGCAGTTTTCCCCCTGAGAAGGCCGTTTCCTAACACTCTTCTTCCGGTCTTTCAGGAGTTGGTGTTCCTTTATGCAAAAAACATGACAGTAAGTCCATGACCAGTGTAATATATCAATATCAGACATAGTGCACTTTTGCTCAACTACATTAACCATGGTGCACCTTTACCACTCCAAGCATAACACATGGCATGTGATGAGTTGAGAGGCAATGGTATATCATGGCTATTATTGGTCAGTAAAATTCTACTCTATCAAATAAACGAAAAATCATTGGTTTATCCAACAAATATATATATTACACACACACACACACATGTATAGGAACATAGTCCTGGATTAAAATTAATGTTTTTACTAACCAATGCTTCTATAAAGATCTTAAATCTTCGGGGCTTCAAGTGAAGCTTTGATGCTTTGCAGCTATATTTTTCCAGCAACGACCACCTGCAATAAAGTCACACAAAACATATAATTCTCTGTGCATTTGTATTTCTATTTAAAAAGACAATTTAGACAAAAAAATCATGATGTCTTTAAGCCATATTATCAACAACAGATTCTCTACAATAGATATTGGGTCAAATGCTCCCAACAGTAACTGTTAAAAACTAAGATCCAACTCCAGGCTGCAATCTTTTTAGAGGATCTCCAAAGGTAAGAAAAATGAAAAAACTGATTGATAACTAATCTTACCATCGAAGCATAGCAGCATTAGTATCTTTAGAATTTTTGGAATCCAAATATAATCCTGGACCCAGCAGCTTGTTCATACGCCTCACAAGACGATAATAATAATGTCTGACCTGGAAACCATGAAGGGAAAAGAGAAAGAAAATCAAAATCAAGATGTTGACAGGAGAATCAATCAACCACTGAATGGAAAGAGCCAAAAGTAATTGTTCTAGAAAATACCTGATCCTTGTTTTTACTTTGAACACGACAAGTTATCTTTTCAAAATTCTGCAAAGTATAGCACAGTTAGGGATTTTTATGTGTAAAATATTTAATTACCAAAAAAACCAAGGACAGGAGCATGCCTTGCCAACTTGTCGTAAAGCGGCAAAGAAACTTTCCTCCTCTTGGTGTGTCCAAGCAGCCCATTGCCGGGTTGGTTTTTTCACTGCAAATTCACAACAATTAGAAGGTGGAAATTTGTACTTTGGAAGGTAACATAATCAGAAGGAAGCCCATAATAAGTAAGTGAGATATGAATTGATCGCATAAAGTATACCAGGCTGCTGCAGTGCAACGTGATTTGAGGTGGATGGAGCTAAACCTGGACCTCCATCCTGAACAAAGAAACCCCCCTGATGAGGATGTGCCTCGGAGTTCACGATGACTGTTGACCCTATCTGCATGTTGAATGCATAACCTATATGCTCATGCTCTCAGCTTCCGGGTTTCAAGCAATACTTTGTTTGACCTCTAACTTGGTGCAAACCGGACTGTTAATTGTAACAAGAGGATTTAAGCTTAGCATGGAAAAAGCAATGCAGTAAATTGACACAAAGCTAAATTAGTAGGAGGCAACAACCAAATCAGTGTGTTCACACATTCACATGCACCAAAAGATGCGCATTCATGCACCCCAAATTCAGTTTCTCCAGATACTTCATAATGTTAAACGATTGCATTTTGGAGTTCATTTACATAACAGATCTAAATTTTCATATTTCCCTTGATTGGGTAAAATTTTCCATTAGAATGATTGGAAAGTAAGTTCACAAAAAAGCACTCCATCAAACGGCACTGAAGCTCACAAATGTGATCAAACTATTCACATGAATAAGGAATTTGTATTTGCAGACCCGAAGTGTATATAGCAACCCAAACCGGGCAAATAGTAATATCAAATCATGCTCATGCTAACAAATCCATTATCATATTAGCATCCAGTTTGGCAAACAGAACCTACATTGCCTTACAAAAAAACAATCTAATTCAGTAAAAGTTAAGCAAGAAATTGAACTCCAGTAATCAAAATAAAAAATACAAGAGAACTGTAATCAGTAGCTAAAAAAATGCCAGAAAACAACAATAGACATGGAGAATATACTCTTCAAGAATTTAGATCCAAATCATAACTCCTCAACTGAACTCTACCTCAGAAAACTTTTTTTTTCCTCGATATGTAGAGTTAAAATTAGCCTTTTCCTATCAAAAAAATCCACAGAAGTACAAAAGAAATATTGAAAAAAAAACAACCTAAATGTAATTTCTTCAACTTTCCCAGCAGCCAAACGACGGCTAGGGTTTCGAACTACACAAACAAATAATCAATCAACTTATGCTCTGTCAACCACGTAAATCAATGAATCTGGAGAATTCGTACTCATAAATTACCCGATAGAAATTTCGAAGAACCCAGAAAACCCTAAAATCGAACGGACGAGCTCCTGAGATTGAAGAAATGCGAACAAAAACCGGATAGAATCTTCCGACAGACGTCTACAGTTCGAAAAAGGAACGAATTTTACTTTGAGAAAAAAAGCGTTATTAGTTAATTCACTGGAAAGGACGAAAAATAAGGATTATTGGCATATTGGAATCATATCACAAAGAGAACGGGTTTTTTTTCTTATTTTGCAAGGACTTGGACATAGAGGTTACTCAACATGACCTAATTTTTTACAACTTTTCAAGTGATTCTATGAAGACCTAAATTTTTAGGAATAGTAGAAGGTAGACTAATTTTGTTGATGCTTTTATTACTTCTAATTAAAAAAGGAAAAAAAAAGTTGGTGTTTTTATTTTAACAATCTAATGGATCATATAGATATTAGATACGATAAAACATAAACAACGATTGTTATGATATCAATGATCGACACTATCGTTATGATAAAGATATGATTGAGGTTGTTATCAAACATCCAACAAACCTAAGATTTGATTTTTATACTTTATTTGATTTTATGAGAAAGTTATATCGGCCGTAAATGATGAGTTGAAATACAATGTAAATAATGTTTCTGGCACAAATAATACTGATACAATCAATGTACAAAATATTACTCTTGCACCTAACATGGGTAACTAACTCTGAATTAATTATATGAAGAAAGTATAGATCAATCTCATGGATGAAATACATGTCAATGTTTAATTTGGATTCTTTGCTCCCAATATATCAAAATCATGAATGATATGCCATTAATATTTTTCTTTCCCTTCTAACAATCAAACCATTCACTTTGAACATGTGTGATGAATTCGATTTGAAGTCTCATTTCCCAAACTATGCATTCACTACTATGAATAGCATGTGTGATGAATTCGAATTGACGTCTTATTTCCCAAACTTTCCAATGCTAATGCAAAGCCTACATTTTCCATAGGGTATGTAAAAGAAAAATTATTTACTATTATTGTTGTATTCCTCATCACAAAGACACAAAGGAACCTAATTTGGCATATATGTCCCATACTTTCAACATTGAAAAGAAAAATTATTTACTATTACTGTTATATTCCTCATCACAAAGACACAAAGAAACCTAACTTGGCATATATGTCCCATACTTTCAACATTGAAAAGAAAAATACCGCTACACTTATACAACTTTATGAACCAATGCATATTTTGACGAAGTGATTAATTAACTCTCCATCATGAACGCAACCCTAAAGACCAAACAATAAAGAAGTCCAACAGTGGACTTGTCCACATGCAATGCAGGTGATCAATCATGGTAGCATCGCATAAAGAAGGAAGCATAATTTACTTTTAAAGAACCTTTTCAACCATGTGTGCGCATTAGATTTAGAGTAGAGAACAGGAAATGTCAAAGAAAGAGAAAGGCAAAGAGACAAAGGGAATAATCTCACACTAGAGAAAAGGCCAGGCTACAATTATGTCAAACAGGGCTCCATTTAGCCATTTAGCCATTTAGCCTTGTTTAAGAGAACCTTGCCGAGGAGGCCTCATCTTCTTATAAGTTTAAAGCCGGTCCCTTATGAGGCAGTAGAACAACAACACAAGAGGTAATTGAATGGTTACGTCAAGAGAAACAATGTTTTCCTGAAACTCGCGTATTTATATGGTAAAAACAGAATTTACATCTGATAACTAATCTTACCATCGAAGCATAGCAGCATTAGTATCTTTAGAATTTTTGGAATCCAAATATAATCCTGGACCCAGCAGCTTGTTCATACGCCTCACAAGACGATAATAATAATGTCTGACCTGGAAACCATGAAGGGAAAAGAGAAAGAAAATCAAAATCAAGATGTTGACAGGAGAATCAATCAACCACTGAATGGAAAGAGCCAAAAGTAATTGTTCTAGAAAATACCTGATCCTTGTTTTTACTTTGTACACGACAAGTTATCTTTTCAAAATTCTGCAAAGTATAGCACAGTTAGGGATTTTTATGTGTAAAATATTTAATTACCAAAAAAACCAAGGACAGGAGCATGCCTTGCCAACTTGTCGTAAAGCGGCAAAGAAACTTTCCTCCTCTTGGTGTGTCCAAGCAGCCCATTGCCGGGTTGGTTTTTTCACTGCAAATTCACAACAATTAGAAGGTGGAAATTTGTACTTTGGAAGGTAACATAATCAGAAGGAAGCCCATAATAAGTAAGTGAGATATGAATTGATCGCATAAAGTATACCAGGCTGCTGCAGTGCAACGTGATTTGAGGTGGATGGAGCTAAACCTGGACCTCCATCCTGAACAAAGAAACCCCCCTGATGAGGATGTGCCTCGGAGTTCACGATGACTGTTGACCCTATCTGCATGTTGAATGCATAACCTATATGCTCATGCTCTCAGCTTCCGGGTTTCAAGCAATACTTTGTTTGACCTCTAACTTGGTGCAAACCGGACTGTTAATTGTAACAAGAGGATTTAAGCTTAGCATGGAAAAAGCAATGCAGTAAATTGACACAAAGCTAAATTAGTAGGAGGCAACAACCAAATCAGTGTGTTCACACATTCACATGCACCAAAAGATGCGCATTCATGCACCCCAAATTCAGTTTCTCCAGATACTTCATAATGTTAAACGATTGCATTTTGGAGTTCATTTACATAACAGATCTAAATTTTCATATTTCCCTTGATTGGGTAAAATTTTCCATTAGAATGATTGGAAAGTAAGTTCACAAAAAAGCACTCCATCAAACAGCACTGAAGCTCACAAATGTGATCAACTATTCACATGAATAAGGAATTTGTATTTGCAGACCCGAAGTGTATATAGCAACCCAAACCGGGCAAATAGTAATATCAAATCATGCTCATGCTAACAAATCCATTATCATATTAGCATCCAGTTTGGCAAACAGAACCTACATTGCCTTACAAAAAAACAATCTAATTCAGTAAAAGTTAAGCAAGAAATTGAACTCCAGTAATCAAAATAAAAAATACAAGAGAACTGTAATCAGTAGCTAAAAAAATGCCAGAAAACAACAATAGACATGGAGAATATACTCTTCAAGAATTTAGATCCAAATCATAACTCCTCAACTGAACTCTACCTCAGAAAACTTTTTTTTTCCTCGATATGTAGAGTTAAAATTAGCCTTTTCCTATCAAAAAAATCCACAGAAGTACAAAAGAAATATTGAAAAAAAAAACCCTAAACGTAATTTCTTCAACTTTCCCAGCAGCCAAACGACGGCTAGGGTTTCGAACTACACAAACAAATAATCAATCAACTTATGCTCTGTCAACCACGTAAATCAATGAATCTGGAGAATTCGTACTCATAAATTACCCGATAGAAATTTCGAAGAACCCAGAAAACCCTAAAATCGAACGGACGAGCTCCTGAGATTGAAGAAATGCGAACAAAAACCGGATAGAATCTTCCGACAGACGTCTACAGTTCGAAAAAGGAACGAATTTTACTTTGAGAAAAAAAGCGTGTTATTAGTTAATTCACTGGAAAGGACGAAAAATAAGGATTATTGGCATATTGGAATCATATCACAAAGGGAACGGGTTTTTTTTCTTATTTTGCAAGGACTTGGACATAGAGGTTACTCAACATGACCTAATTTTTTACAACTTTTCAAGTGATTCTATGAAGACCTAAATTTTTAGGAATAGTAGAAGGTAGACTAATTTTGTTGATGCTTTTATTACTTCTAATTAAAAAAGGAAAAAAAAAGTTGGTGTTTTTATTTTAACAATCTAATGGATCATATAGATATTAGATACGATAAAACATAAACAACGATTGTTATGATATCAATGATCGACACTATCGTTATGATAAAGATATGATTGAGGTTGTTATCAAACATCCAACAAACCTAAGATTTGATTTTTATACTTTATTTGATTTTATGAGAAAGTTATATCGGCTGTAAATAATGAGTTGAAATACAATGTAAATAATGTTTCTATCACAAATAATACTGATACAATCAATGTACAAAATATTACTCTTGAACCTAACATAGGTAACTAACTCTGAATTAATTATATGAAGAAAGTATAGATTAATCTCATGGATGAAATGAAATACATGTCAATGTTCAATTTGGATTCTTTGCCCCAATATATCATAATCATGAATGATATGCCATTAATATTTTTCTTTCCCTTCTAACAATCAACCATTCACTTGAACATGTGTGATGAATTCGATTTGAAGTCTCATTTCCCAAACTATGCATTCACTATGAATAGCATGTGTGATGAATTCGAATTGACGTCTTTTTTCCCAAACTTTCCAATGCTAATGCAAAGCCTACATTTTCCATAGGGTATGTAAAAGAAAAATTATTTACTATTACTATTGTCACAGTATTATCATTGTACAATATTCCTCATCACAAAGACACAAAGGAACCTAATTTGACATATATGTCCCATACTTTCAAAATTGAAAAGAAAAATACCGCTACACGTATACAACTTTATGAACCAATGCATATTTTGACGAAGTGATTAATTAACTCTCCATCATGAACGCAGCCCTAAAGACCAAACAATAAAGAAGTCCAACAGTGGACTTGTCCACATGCAATGCAGGTGATCAATCATGGTAGCATCGCAGAAAGAAGGAAGCATAATTTACTTTTAAAGAACCTTTTCAACCATGTGTGCGCATTAGATTTAGAGTAGAGAACAGGAAATGTCAAAAGAAAGAGAAAGCCAAAGAGACAAAGGGAATAATCTCACACTAGAGAAAAGGCCAGGCTACAATTATGTCAAACAGGGCTCCATTTAGCCATTTAGCCTTGTTTAAGAGAACCTTGCCAAGGAGGCCTCATCTTCTTATAAGTTTAAAGCCGGTCCCTTGTGAGGCAGTAGAACAACACGAGGTAATTGAATGGTTACGTCAAGAGAAACAATGTTTTCCTGAAACTCGCGTATTTATATGGTAAAAACAGAATTTACATCCAAAATTGTTACAAACAAGTGACAATGATTACAACAGTAGTAATAAGGATCAAAATGATACACAAAGCAACTTCAGATGGCTACAGTTGAAGCTTGTTCTATGGTTCCTTTGTTTTACAGACACCAGGGAGGATATCGATCATAACCTTTCGTAACGTTCTCAAAACATATTCTGTTCCTCTCATTCTTCCGATACTGTATGTGCTACACATTGTATCCATTCATCCCACCACCATCCTTTGTTTTAGAGCAGTTGCACTATTTGTTGCTGGCATAACACCATAAATAAAGATTTCCATCCATCTGGAACTAGTCTACCAATTTATAATTTGGTAAGATCACAAAAGCAGCAGCCCACATCAATCACCACTGAAGGATAATTTGCTTGGAGAAACAGAACCAAGAAAGGACCCTAGACCACTGCAAAGTGAGATGTCCTATTTACTTCCACTGGCAACTGCAACAACTTTATTCAGTAGTGGTTGATTTACAAAGCATTAATCTGTACATAGGGTCCCCACGAGCTAAGACATGTTGTTCCCAGTCTGATCGAACTCCAAATGGGTTGTCCTTAAGCCACCCTCTATTAGTTATGGCAAAACTTTGTTCATGCACCGCAGTAAGTTTACCCTTGCCATATCTCTGAAACTGTTCTTTCATTCTCAGAGAGACAGCCTCTATGTCAGATTGCAGAAAGACCTAGTAAATATAACAGAAATTAGCAAATAAACTGACAAATCCCTGTCATGCAGGTGCAGCTGATCTACATTGATTTTCTAGTTGTGTAGTCTTAAGTTTACGAATAAATCATGGAGTATATGGTGTCATTACTTGCAGTGATGGAAATAAAGGTGAAGAAGGGGGGAAAGAAAGTTAACTAGAGAGTTAAAATGGAGCTCCGTATGGAAGTGGAGCTGCAAAATAGTTTTACCTTTCCATTAGCTGTAAGCAGATCAGCAACTGCTTCGACTAATGACCTTTGCAGCATACTCCATCTATGATCTGGTTCGTTGAAATCAGGATTTGGGCACTAAATGGGGAAAAACATCCCAATTAATTATTGATAAAAATAAACCTAAGCATTGAATGCAAGACTGATGAAACTATAAGGACAAGAAAATGCATTTAATTTTCCATTACATCAAATATACTGCCCTACTTTCCATGTCATTTTCAAGTAAAGTGATAGAGAACTTAACATAGTACCCTTTTTTTTTTAACAGAGAACCATATCTTTCTCAACTTATAATGAGAAAATGTGGCATCAGGTTGTTCTATATGATCGGTTCATAATTGTATATCATTTTGTACCCTTCTAGCTTATGATTTGGTTATGTTTTTGAGTTAAACTTGTGCACCCACCCTAAAATAGGGAAAAGACTTTGAGAACCCAATTTCACAAAATTTATTATATGGCACTCAGTTTACACAGTTGCAACATAGGAAACTGAAAAATAATGATATTATTGTAAAAAAAAGCAGTCAAAAGGACTAGTCAATTCATACATGTTCTAATCATTCATGAAAAGAAAAGGAGTCAAAGGGCATCATATTTTTGGTAAACCAAAAGCAGGCTCACCATCCAGAATACGATGAGCATGAAATATTTCCAATTGCTTTGGAAGATGATCATTCTTGCACCAAAAGTCTCTTGGATATAGGATCTGTACATTTCTAATGTGTGCAACCTGGACTAAATCTAGAGCTTCTTTAAGTACCCCATGTTCCACCAAATTCAAGGGAACAGGTAGCCCTAAGGCATGCATTATTTGAAATGACATCATTCCAACAAAGACTAACCCATCACATCGGGAAGCTAAGGAATGCAAAGCAGCTGCTTTATCAAAGAGATTACCCCCTCCAATCTGCACTGCCAAAGATAATAAAGTTAAGAGTCCATAAGTTTTCGGTTTGACTGGAACCAAACACAAATAATGGAACTAATATACTAGCAGTGGAGGCATACAATTGCTACATGTGGTTTTGTGTTGCTTTCTGTAGTCCTTCTAAGTTGAGATAGGCTCTCCTCAAAGTGAAAACCAGCTAAGTTGGCATAGCAGAAGCGAGCGACTCCGCAGGTGGATGCAAGAATCTTATGAGACCGGGAAAAGTAATCATTAACAAAAATATCCACTCCTGATGACAATGCTTGAGAAAATTTTGAACAATTGGCAACTTCCCCTCTAAACTCAGAAAGATTCTCAAGAAGAAGAATATCTCCTTTCTCAAAGCCTTCCCTCTTTGATACCACGTTTTGAGAAATGCATTGTACTGGAACAACTTTGTACTCAAGAAGAGATGACAAGAACTCTGAAATGTGGAGACCATCAAGCAATAAACAATGATCAGCAATTCAACATGTCGAATTGTCATATCATAGCCCCATGTTTCATGCTTAAATAAATCTGCCTTTTTTTTTTTCACTGTCATGAAGCATCATAATAGCAAAAATGCTAGCGAAAAAACTAACATTAGTGTGAAGCATTATATACCTGCAACAGACTGCGCGACAAACAGTCTAGGATTAGTTTTAACACTCCAATCACTAACAAGAACTACTTTAGCCCCAGACTGGTGCAAATACTTAATGGTGAAGAGTGCACTGGGTTGAAATCGGTGTTCCTCCCCTTGTTCCCGAAGCAAAAGGGTAGAGTCAAATCTGACCAGTACAACTTTTGCAACAAGCTCCTCTCTTGGAAACTTTCTAAGAGTCTGCAAGTGTGGCAAGGCATCCATTTCTCCTCCTCCAAAGGCCTAAAAGAGCAAAACCCAATTGAAAAAAAGTAACACAAAACAAGATAGAACTGAAATTTAGCTAGTGGGCTAGTACCTTACCTTACACTTGGATGTTAGGACATTTGCTTTGAGATATTCAAAAGTGTGAGGCTTGAGAGCAATACTTGAACATGTGGGAGAGTTGCTGAAAAACAGAGTTGTTTGAAGTTGAAGTAGATTCACAAGGTGACCCATGTTATGACACCCAACTCTGCTTCTGCTATGAAGCGTCTGGCTGTGGCCGCTTAAAGCGGAGGAGATGACAAAGAAGTAAACGACATGTCGTGTCAGGAAATAGTGTCCTTGTAATACTATGAAACTTTCACCAAAAAATAAAAAATAAAAACTACTTAAACGACACCGCTTTGGAGTCTTTTGGAGTTTTAATTACAGCTTCTTCAACAAAGCGAAGGGAAAAGCTCAGTCTGGACTGTCGAATACCCAATAACGACAATTCGTGCTTGCATCGCAAACGACGTCGTAGAAGCCGATACAGGAGCCATAGCCTGACGGAGATCGGAGCTAAAATGGCTCTGAATTTGGGATTCGTGGTTGGTATCCTTGGAGTTGTAATTCTCTCCCATGCCGCTTATTCAACCGTTCAATGTAAGCCCAGATAATTAGTATATACGTAGTTAGGTATCTATTTGGATTTGAAAGTCAACAACGTTAGGGTTTGTGGTGATTGAAATTGGATCCTTTTTTAGATTGGTTGATTTGATTTGGTTGCAGACAGGGGATTGTTGAAGATTATGGAGGAAGAGTTTTCAGGACCTCCATTGAATGTAAGATTTAACACAGGCAAATTCTAAAAATGGGTATTATTTTGTTTAGGTGTTTCGATGATTAAACGGGTAACTGAAATTGCAGGTGGTTGTTGAATTGCTTCTAGGGTTAGTGTTATGTATGTGGGCAGCTCTTACTGTCCCGGGCACGTTTCTTTCAATACATCCCCATTCTGAAGAGAATAGGTATGTGTGCATTTTGTCTCTTCAACGTCTGATTTGTTTTGTTCATGGTGTGATTGGATTTCTTTTCAATCCCTTTCAATTGAAAGTTGAAACAAATTTATAGTAACTTTTGTTATGCTTGTGTACTTAAGCTTTGCAGTGCCTTCTACAAACTCAATTTTGCGAAGTTGTAACTGGTTTTGATTCAAACTCTTTTTTTATTGTTTGAATTGGCAAAGACTGATGATAGAATAGATGTTACAGCCATGTCAATACCTAATTTGCACATTGCTAGTTGCAACTTCTATTCTAACCCTATGGTTGGTTCTCTGTCAGCTAGAGAAAATAGAGAAGAGAAAAAAAAATCCGGAAGTTTTTATTTTTTTCTGTTTTTATTTTCCTATGAGCCAACTTTGTCTTCAAATTATACGCCATTTGAAGAGAGAGCTTGAGAAGGAAAACCTGGAGTTATTTTCCTTTCCTCTTTATTTTCATCAATAACCAAACAATGGAAAGATAAAGAGTTTAATTCTTTCCTTTCTCTATTATTGGGTTCTAAACATAGGTTAAGAGTTGAATTGTATATCTCCTTGTAGTGGGGGTTGTTGATAAGATTATTAGTTGTTCACATGCCCTTCTGAATAAAGGTCCTTACAAATTGAATAGGAACCTTTTTTTTTTAACAAAGTAAATGGAATATTCTGTAGGTAAAGATGCAGTACTTAGTATCTCATTCTACTGTCTAAAGTTGTTGAATGCTATTGTGTAATGTTCACTGACATGCTTCATTATGTTATAGAACTGAAACATGTTACGAGTATTCAAATGGGGGTTATCTGCAAAGAGACAAAATATCAAATTATTGAGAGAAAGCTGAGTAGAAGTAAGCGTAACGGGATTACGGCAGGGAAATTAGTAAGAAGATAGAAACAATAGGGGTTAGCATTCTTGAGTTTAGAGACCACAAAGCAGGAGAGAGCAAAATAGTTTTTGTCTTTCCATAATCTTTAGCTGCCCTCTTTAGTAATGGGACTCTGTTTCTTATCAAAAATAAAATTTTAACAAAAAAATAGAAGTGTGCAACCTACAAATGAGCATGATATGGGACTTACCTTCTTAAGCTATCTGGGTTTGTTTATTAATTGGAAAACATATTGTAACCCTCTCTGCACAGCAAGATACTGTAGAAGTAGAAGGTTATTTTCAGATATGGATTGACCTTATTTTGTCTCCATCAGTTCTCAAGCTAAGTCATCCTTGCATAAAATAAATTTGTAATGTTATTAAGACTAAAAGAGGGCCAAGTTTTGTTGCATATTCATAGAGACGAGTCAGAAGACTAATGTGTACTCTTCATCATAGCTATGGCCAGTTATCTGTGCTCCTTTTAGGTATAAACCTTGTAAGAGAAAATTGTATGAGTGAGGTATCTCAGTTGTTGCTATTTACTGTACGGTCTATATGCTTGAAATTCAGAAGTGTGGAATAATAGCTATTTTGACTTTAAAAATGTTATATGCGAGATACTTGATTGGATTATTGACATCCAGTTTATTTTGGAATGCAGGATCGTTTCTCTACCAGCCAACCTAGACTTTATGATCTTCAACCATCGTGCCAGAGTGTTCCCCGTGGAGATGGATATGAAGTTGAAACATTGAGGTCTTTTCAATCAAGTGAAGTAGGTGTATTCAAGCAGAGCATCTTTCAGTTTTTTTTCTGGCCTCTAGTGAGAGAGGCAGCATTTGGCAGATCACTGCTGTTTCTGCATTTGGCAAATCATGAATTCTCTGTTTCTATACATGTTTTAGTTTTCTTGGATTATGTTGTATTTTCTCTTCACATATGTAGCTCCTTGACCAGATAGCTGCTGACTTTGTTGTTGCCCTGGCCTAGTCATTTGAAGTAATTTAAACTTGGAGGTGGTTGAGAGCTTATTTATAATTCCAGTGGACCCATGATAGTAGCTAGGCCTGCTTGTGCTTGTGAAATTTAGTAATATATTTACAGATAACTTAGCCTTCCCCGTTCCTAAGTGGACGGTCCTGTTACAGCTGATGATCCCAGCTCATCATTTTGTCTTCAAGTCGACCACTTCTCCCATCAATGATATAGAAAATGAACACCGTCTAGTTATCTGGGATGCAAAATTGTTTCTTTTTCCTTTCTTTTTGGCTGAGAAAATTGTCAGAATTGTTTTGTGCTGTTTTCGTATATGATTTAATCCCTTCCAATTCACGGAAGAAGCATGTGATCATGACTCAAAACTCTATAATCCATTCATACTTTTTGGTAGTCCTTTTGGCTTTTCTTTGAATAAAAGTTAAGAAAATGGACAAGCTCAAAAGGAGATCTCAATATTAGAATTCAATGTGTTGATACAAAATATCAGCTGGTGGGGGAAAACAAAATAAAATCTTCATCCTAGAAGAATGGTTCACAGAGAAAAAGGGTAAACATGGAATTGAAAGAAAACATTCACATACCTCTGAAAAAAATTGTAAGAGTGGGACTAAAACTAGAGTATACTAGAACAACAAGTACAGCCTCTACTTTGAGCCTCCATAGCCCACTGCTAAATCCCTAGGTGCTAAGAGCTTCCATGAAGAAAACCAGTCAATAAAATTAATCTACAACTGAGTGAGTTCCTGTGGGTTTTCCATAGATTGTCTAAGAATAAACTCGGCTCTTCTCTTCTTGTCATCCCTCTCCTCATCTCGCCCAAACCAATACGCTGGTCTCCCAGTACCCTTCTTTTGCAGCCTCACATCCG